GCCGAGGGAGCGCCGCACCGTCGGAGGGTCGGTGCCGAGGGAGCGCCACTGAGTAGGTTACATCAGATTTAGTACTGTGTAACATTACAGGATTAATTAATGACCTCAGCATAAAAAGGTCCCAGATAGCAGCAACCATAAAACAATTAAAATTGAAATTCATGCTTGAAAGAGAGAAAACTGGGTTTAAGTCGAGGATATTAAACCTAACTAAAGGCAAGCATGTAGATATGAAAACTGACCTAGCTGAAATGAACTGGCACACAGGGCTAGGATATAAATCAATAGAAATAGTGGCAGAATTTGAAGAGCATATTTCAGTTATTAGACTATGCGAGGAAGCTCACTTGGGATATGAAATCCGAGCGCAAGCATTTGTACAGGAATTTTAAAAGGATAAGATAAAGCAATGGCAGTGTTGGTCCACGACAGAGTGAGTCAGAAGTCACACAACACCAGGTTATAGTCCAACAGGTTGATTTGAAATCAGAAGCTTTCTCTAACTTCATCCTGTGACTTCTAACTTTGGCCACCCCAGTCCAACACCAGCACCTCCACATCTTCACGAGGAGAGGGAGAATAGCGAGTTAATAATGGAAAGTAAGAAACTGGCAGATGAAAGGGTTTGCTTCTGTCCTCACTCTAGAGGATACAAAAAACAGTTCACTATTTATGTAAATCAGGAAGTGGGAGGGAAAGAGAGATAGAGAGAGAGAGAGAGAGAGAGAGAGAGAGAGAGAGAGAGAGAGTGGAAGTGGGTAAACTGATAGAGTTGTCTGACAAGCCTCCAGACTCAGATAGGCTTCATCCGGGTCTCAAAAAGGAGGCCAATGAGGTAGGAGATGTGTTTGTGTGCTTGTCAAGATTCAGGAAAGGTTCCATCAGTCTGGAAAGTAGCAAATATTAGCCCCTCCGTTCAAAATGGGAGGAAGACAGGAAACCGGAAACTACAGTTATAAGTTAGCTTGATCTCTGTCCTGGGAAAGTGTTTCATAAAGATGATAGCTGCAAACTTTGAAAAACTCAAGGTAATCAGGAAGAGTCAGCGTGGTTTCAGAGAGAAACCATGTTTAAATCAATTTATTGGAGTTCTTTGAAGGAGTAGCACACTCCATATATAAAGGAGAGCCTGCAGATGGAGTGTACTTGGATTTACAGAAGGCATTTGTTAAGGCGCTACATCATAGAAACATAGAAGATCAGAGCAGGAGGAGGCCATTCGGCCCTTCAAGCCTGCTCCACCATTCTTCATGATCGCGGCTGATTGTCCAACTCAATAGCCTAATCCTGCTTTCCCCCCATTCGCCCCAAGTGCTATATCGAGCTGCCTCTTGAATATATTCAATGTTTTGGCATCAACTACTTCCTGTGGTAATGAATTCCACAGGCTCACCACTCTTTGGGTAAAGAAATATCTCCTCATCTCTGTCCTAAATTGTCTACCCCAAATCCTCAGACTGTGACCCCTGGTTCACACCCACCATCGGGAACATCCTCCCACATCTATCCTGTCCAGTCCCGTTAGAATTTTATAAGTCTCTATGAGACTCCCCCTTATTTGTCTGAACTCCAGTGAAAACAATCCCAAACTAGTCAATCTCTCCTCATAGGTTAGACCTGCTATCCCCGGAATCAGCCTGGTAAACCTTCGCTGCACTTCCTCGAGAGCAAGAGCATCCTTCCTCAGAAAAGGAAACCAAAACTGCACACAATATTCCAGGTGTGGTCTCACCAAGGCCCTGTACAACTGCAACAACACATCCCTGCTCCTGTACTCGAAACCTCTTGCAATGAAGGGCAACATACCATTTACCTTCTTTACCGCCTGCTGCACCTGCATGCTTACCTTCAGCAACTGGTGCACAAGGACCCCCAGGTCCTGCTGCACACTCAGCTCTCCCAATTTACAGCCATTCAGGTAGTAATCTGCTTTCTTCTTTTTGCTTCCAAAGTGAATAACCTCATATCTATCCAAATTATACTGCATCTGCCATTGATCTGCCCACGCACCCAACCTGTTGAGGTCATGCTGAAGGATCTCTGCATCCTCGTCACAGTTCACCCTCTCACCCAACTTGGTATCATCTGCAAACTTGGAGATGTTACATTCTTTTTCCCTTGTCCAAATCATTAATATATATTGTGAATTGCTGGGTCCCCAGCCCTGATCCCTGTGGCATCCCACTAGTTACTGACTACCAATTTGAAAAGGACCCATTAATTCCTACTCTTTGTTTCCTCTCTGCCAACCAGTTTCCTGTCCATCTCAATACACTTCCCCCAACCCCACAAAGATTATTGTAGAAAATAAAGACTCACGGTATAGAGGGGGGTAACAGATGAGCATGGATAGAAGACTGGTTAGCTGACAGAAAACAGAGAGAGTGTACCAATGGTTCTCCATCTGACTGGCAGGATGTGACAAGTGGCATCCTACAGGGATCTCTTCCTGGGCATCGATTATGTACGATACAACATTCTATTTAACATTGGCACGGTGGCTCAGTGGTTAGCACTGCCTGACAATGCTAGAGACCTGGGTTCAATTCCACCCTTGGGTGACTGCTGTGTGGAGGTTACACATTTTCCCCGTGTCTATGTGGGTTTCCTCTGGGTGCTCCGGTTTATAGAACATAGAACAGTACAGCACAGTACAGGCCCTTCGGCCCACGATGTTGTGCCGAACTTTTACCCTAATCCTAAGGTCTATCTAACCTCCACCCCTACCTTATACTATCATCCATATGCTTATCTAATAGCCGCTTAAATGCCCCTAATGAGGCTGACTCCACTACCCTCTCCAGCAATGCATTCCACGCCCCTACCACTCTCTGAGTAAAGAACCTACCTCTGACGTCTCCTCTATATCTACCTCCACTCACTTTAAAACTATGCCCCCTCGTAATGGCTAACTCCATCCTAGGAAAAAGTCTCTGGCTGTCCACTCTATCTATACCTCTGATCATTTTGTACACCTCTATCAAATCACCTCTCATCCTTCATCGTTCTAAAGAGAAAAGCCCCAGCTCTCTCAACCTTTCCTCGTAAGACCTTCTCTCCATTCCAGGCAACATCCTGGTAAATCTCCTCTGCACCTTTTCCAATGCCTCCACATCTTTTCTGTAATGAGGCGACCAGAACTGGACACAATACTCCAGATGTGACCGAACCAGGCTTTTGCGTTTCCTTCCCCAGTCCAAAGATGTGCAGGTTAGGGTGGATTGGCCATGCTAAATTGTCCCATAGTGCCCAGGGATGTGCAGGTTAGGGTGGATTGGCCTTGCTAAATTGTCCCATGGTGCCCCGGTGATGTGTATTAGCCATGGGGAGTGCAGGGTTACAGGGATCGGTGGGTCTGGCTGGGATGCTCTTTGGAGGGGTGGTGTGGACTCAGTGGGCCGAATAGCCTGCTTCCACAGTGCGGGGAGTCTGTGTTTTCACATCAATGACTTAAATGAGGGAGCGAAGAGATGGTCGCTAAATTTACAGACAACACAAAGGTACCTTGCATAGTACACTGTGAGAAAAGACAGGAGTTTGTACAATAGGTTAAGCGAGTGAGTAAATATTTGACAGATGTGGGGAGATGTGATGTTTATACAGTCACACAGCATAGTGGTCCAACCAGTTCATGTCGAAAATAATCCCAAACTACTCCCTGCTGCCTGCACCTGGACCTCTAAACCTTTCCTATTCATGTACCTTTTCAAATGTCTTTTAAACATCGCAATTGTACCCTCATCCTTAGAATCCCTACAGTGTGGGAAAGGCCATTCGGCCCAACAAGTCCACACCAACATGCCGAACAGCATCGCAGCCAGACCCATTCCATTACCCTATCCCTGTAACCCTGCATCTCCCATGGCTAACGCACATTGCTGAACACTATGGACAATTTAGCTTGGCCAATCCACCCAAATCCTCGGACTGTGTGAGGAAACTGTAGGATATGACAGAAACCCACACAGACATGGGGAGACTGTGCAAACTCCACACAGACAGTCGCCCAAAGGTGGAACTGAACCTGGGTCCCTGGCGCCGCAAGGCAGCACTGCTAACCACTGAGCCACTGTCCTACCACTTCCTCAGGAAGTTCATTCCTCACACGAACCACCCTCTGTGTAAAAAAATTGCCTCATCTTTTTTAAATCTCTCTCCGCTCACCTTAAAAATGTGTCCCCTAGTCTTGAAATGCCCCATCCTAGGGAAAAGACAACTACAATTAACTCTATACCTCTCATTATTTTATAAACTTCTATCAGGTCGCCTCTCAACCTCCCACATTCCAGTGAGAAAAGTCCCAGTCTATCCTTTCTTTATAACTCAAACCTTCCATACCCGGCAACAAGTTGTTCACTTTAGAATCAAAAAAAGCGGAGTATTGTTTAAAAGCTGAATGATTGCAGAACGCCGAGATGCAGAGGGATCTGGGTGTTGTGGAGCATGAGGCACAGAAGGTTAGTCTGCAGATGCAGAGAGGCATGTTATCCCTCATTCTAAGAAGAACTGAACATAAACATAAGGATGTTGTGCTTCACTTATACAAGGCATTGGTGGGACCTCCTCTCGAATACAGGGTGCAGTCTCCTGATTGAATGAAGGATGTTAATGTGTCGGAGACGGTTCAGAGGAGGGTTTACGGGATTGATCCCTGGAATGAGAGTGTTGACACGTGAGGAAAGGTTGGACAGACTGGGATTGGTTTTCCCCTGGAGTTTAGAAAAGTGAGGAGTGACTTGTTTGAAGTATATAAGGTCTTGACAAGGTGGATGTGGAAAGGATGTTTCCTCTAGGGGGTCAGTACAGCACCAGGGGATAGATCAAAGAACTGATGCTGGAGGTCTGAAACAAAAACAGAAGTTGCTGGAGGAACTCAGCATGTCTGGCAGCATCTGTGGTAAATACGCAGCGTTAACGTTTTAATCAGACTGATAGCAGCTAGGGAGACTGGTATTTATACAAACCTACCGACTCCTACCTCGACTATACACCCTCACACCCTGCTTCCTGTAAAGCCTCCATCCCATTCTCCCAGTTTCTCCACCTGCTTCGCGTCTGTTCTGATGATGCCACCTTCCACAGGGGAGCGTCAGAAATGTCCAGCTTCTTCCTCACTCAAGGAT